ATCTCCCCCCGCAAGCTCTCTAGTCTTAGCTGAAGTTATTGGACTCCTTAGATTCCATGGACTGTATCTCAGCACTAATGCTCTCGCAGTTGTCCACGATCTGTTTGACAGGCCTCTGTTAACTGTCATTTTGCAACTCTCCCATGTGATAAAAAAGGGAGAAAGGTGCCCTGTGAAGCACCACACAGCCCCAGGTTGTGAGCACATCCACAGCTCCCAGCAGACTGGAACGGAGGCCAAAACACCATGTTTCCCTATCAACCTGCTGACAAAACCAGGAGTTAAAACCCCTCTGAGTAATAAATCATGACAAGTGCTGTTGGCACTTCTATAGACCTTATCATCAGACCTCTAGTTGTTTTGGTGTAATCCCTCATGTGCAGACAAGGCAATCAGGTTTTATTTAAGAGATCACACCACCCTGCAGAAGGCCAAGACAGGAGGAGAAAGCATAGCATCTAGATTTGCACTAAAATGGTAAAACTCTGCAGGGGAGCAAGATTTCAATCCCAACCCTCTGTATCACCCCACGTTTTCACAGCAGGCACTGTGAGAGGGGGGAAACCACAGGGAGCAATCCCACTCCTCAGCTTCAGCAAGCAGAAATCAACCCTCGGCATACAGAAAAGTGCCATTTATCACTTAGCCATAAGAAAAAATTGTCATGAGAAAGAGGCAATGGCACATATGGATGCTTTCCAGGCCTTCAAGATTCTCCTGTTCCCCCTTGCTATCCCTGGAGGAGGATGATGGCTGTACCACCAAATGCTCATCCCCATCTCCTAGAAAGAAAGTCTGACCCTCTGGACTCCTTTTGAGCAAGAAAAAGTCACGAGGATGCTCCCTAAAAGTATCAGTAACGGAACACCAGCACTGCCACCTGCACTGGAGAGTAACTGAGTGGCAGACAGGATTTGTGAGCAATTTTAGGGGCACGGGGGTGGTTTCCCAAACAGGGGTGACCTGGAGGCTTCATGCTGGCCAGGAACAGCCCAGCTTGCCCACGGAGGAGGCTGCCAGACTTTACAAACTCTCTGATAAGTCTGTGGGTCTTCCCTCAAGGGGTCAGTATGAGACTTGGGTAAAAATGAGGAGCTTTTAAGAATTTTAGTTAGCTTTTCATTATTTCTTAATTGTTCCTTTCTTTAAAAAAAGTACCTTATTAAAAGAAACTGCTGTGACTGCAAGATTCCTCCAGTAGGCAAAGGTTGCATTTCTCCCAGGGGCAGAGGGTGGGAAAAATTGACTAAAAATGTAATTCCAAAAGGGAGAAAGGAGCATTCCTGTGTTATTACCTTCACCAACATCAGCTCTGGGACTGGGCCAAACCTGGGACCCAGGTATCTGCAACGTGCTGCAAGAAAGGGACCTTTGCTCTGCAAGAGGTTGCAGCCACTCATTACAAACCCAGCTCCAATCCCAAGCCTGGTGGGAACTCGGGGCTGTAGCAAGAGCCTTGCAGAAACTGCTGTGATGACAAGCTGTAGTAAAGCAGGAGGTCTGCAAAAATCACTAAGGGGCTGTAAGAAAAGTCAGGACAGAGCTAAATTAATTACTGCCCCTGAAAACGTGCAAGCCAAAATGCAAGTGCCTAAAGAAACTCCAGCCAGAGCTACTGTGTTCTCTGGAGTGGCCAGAATAAGCACCTGAGTGAATGTGTGATACTGTGGGGTTATTGGAAAGCTATGGAAAGCAGAATCTGGCCCTCAGCCCAGACTGCAAGGGGCTTAAAAATGCAGCGGGAGTTAGCTTCCAGCAACAGCAGCAAGCCCAGGATGAAGAATGTGATCTCCTCAGTGAGATGTGCCTTGGGTCTGGCCTCGTTTCACCATGAGCCGTGGGGCTTTCCAAAAATTAATAGGGTTTTCCCACGATGGAAAAGGCAGGTGGCACATCCCAGTGCATCGAGAAGTTCCTGCACATCTCTTGCTCCCTTCTGCATCACCAGACATGCTTGCTGGAAGAAAGAGCTGTCAGGGTTTTCCTCACTACACCCATTGGGACAGTGCAGACAAGGCTGCCTGCAGGCAAGAAGCACTGCAGGGGGAGGAAGGTGGGCAGGGGGACAGCATGTCAGAGGTCACCTTTGGGTCCCCTGCTCCATAGCCAGCTCAGGCACATCTTGCAGAAGGGATCTCTTGCTGGGAGCAGCATTACGTGAGGCAAAAGATGTTCACCCATCTCGGGGCTCTCTCACCTTCTGGCTGAGCACCCCAGAGCTATAAACAGAAATAATTAATTGCAACTGCACATGCTTCCAGCTCCGGATGCTCCCTTAAAATATCCACCTCAGAAACCTATCAAGAGTAGAGCACAGAGACATAGCAAATACAGGGATTCAAAAAGTCTCTTGGAGTATGGGATCCAGCTGTAAACGGGAGATTTCATCACCCCTTCATTCCAAACCTATTTGGGCATGCTGATTTTGACAGAGCCATTTTTTAAGATGTCCCTGCATGCAGCTGTCCCAAGACACAGAGGCAGAACCTTACTTACTAACTTCTGGAACCAGTCCTTCACCCCATCTGCCTTCTGCTCTGAGGTTCTTAGCATTTCCATCTCCTCCCTCTGACTGCACAAAACATCCATGGTGGATTTTAACTATCAATCTGTGTCAGTATGCAGCAGCTAGTGAGACCCTTGACTCCTCACTGCAGCCTGAGCCTCATCAGAAGACCCTTCCTTCTCTGTCCAAGCTCTCCACAAGTTGACACCACTGCAGAAGCCCCCCTTGGGTGCCACTAGGTTCCCAAAGAGCCTCTTTTCCTAAAAGCTTCAAGGGTAATGCTCTGAGGAATGCTCACTTTCAGTGCTGTGAAACCAGCAGACAGCAGAGGTTCTGGCCCAGGAGCCAGCATGGGGCAGCCTGGCTGAGTGCATTTGGAAACGGAAATTGTTCCACTGTGATGGGATGCGAGCAGACACGGCGGCAGTTAGGAAAGTCACCATCGCATGCAACAGGACAAAGAGAGGAGCAAAACACTAAAAAAGGTGCACCCCGGACACAGCACCTGCCTTGGGAAGAGCTGGGGAACAAATTCCTAATACCAGGTCAGCCAGGAACGCCATCCCCTTCCCAGGCTGGGGCACGCCGGCGCCGGGAGCCAGCGCCTGGCTGGCCAAACACAGATGCAGGAGCTGAATGGGAGCACAGTCAGCCCAAACTATTTTTAAATGGTGCAGAGGAAGCTTTCACTTTTCATTATGAAAGGGAGACAAAGTGTCCGTCAGTTGTGCTGAATGCATTCACTCCACGGGTGGGTGTGGAGTTATGTAAAGCCCCCAGCCCCAGTCCGTGCAGCCAGCAGCTCTAATCCCCCCGAGTCTGCTCACAGCTGCCTGGGGTCAGAGACCACAACAGCTGAAATGCACTTTTGATATGTAGCCTTTCAGTTGCCCCAACTACTCTGGGGGTTTCTGCCTTGTGACTTCATCAAAGCTAACCAGCAAGATTCACTGCTGGCATAAACGAGCACCATGCAACCCATCAGGATCCTCTCCCTTTAGCTCAGTGCAGGTAAATGAACAGTCCAGAGGCATCACATGCAGACACCAAGAGTTGGATCTGGTGGTCCACTGAAATTACTTTGCTCCCCTGGAGCATTTGGCAGCAGCAGCACCTTTACTTGCCAAATATGTTTCTTGAGGTGCTGGGGAGCCTGTGGGCTGGCAGGGACGAAGCAGGGCTGGGACCAGGGCTTTCCACAACCCCCGTCCTGCCCAGCCAAGATAACAGCTCTGCGATCTAATTGTAAGATGGTTCATTTTCTCTTGAACATCAGTTACTGCTACTGTTCTCAAATATATATATGAACATGACTGTTACACCCTCTTTCCCCAAAACATCAGCAGTGAGAAAATGCCCGTGGTGCATCCCGAGGAGCAGGTTTGTGTCACTGGCCAAACAGCCACACAGCAGCTCCAACTTTGTATGCTGGCAGTTGGCCAGCTGGTAAAGAGAAAGAGCTCAGCCAGCTACTGAGCTCCGTCCATCCATCTCCCAAAGAAGCCACTAGTGCATCTGCTGCCATATGGAAATACTGTGCCTTGGATGAATCCACAGAATGCACAAGCAAAGACCCATGCCCTGTCCATCATGACCTAAAGAGACACATAAGATGTTCTCGGCTACTGGTGGAAACTACCAGCCTCATAAAACAAGGTTTGGCAGTAAAACAGTTCTCCAAATTCCACTTTTGCAAATATATATGCACATCCAGAACATTCTCCCAAATAACTGCAGGTTGCTCCTCACTACCAAGAAGTATTTGCTAACATCCTGCGTTTATTAGACACACTACAGCTCCATAAAGGGGCTCAGAAGCCACTAACAAGGGGCATCATTGGACTTTCCAGACTAAAAGTGTACTTACTTAAGGGACAACCACCTAAAGGGTGAACTACTTGCTGTGGCCTCCCTTGAGAGAAGAAAGAGGCATTTCATTCAGCTTGTTCAGAATTAAGTGCCAGTGACGTTCAGATGAACCATGCCCTCATCACCCAGATGAAACATGACCTCAACAGTCTGTTTTATCCCAGCTGCTACGAAGACAGCTTGGGGCAGTTAGTTCAGTAGATGTTTATGCTGTTATGTGGAGTTAGGCAAGAATAATCCCTTATAGTCTCTCATGGTCCAGGCTCTGCTCTTGCTACAAGAGATGAACATAGAAGTGAAAAAGCAAAGTTGTGCTCCTGAACATTTCAGCTGAAGTCAAAGTATGGGGTTCAGAGATAATAAACCCAGGAATGACCTGGGTGTAGTAGGACAGGACCACAAGCAATACTGGTTCCAAACCTATTGCTCATGAACAAGCTGATGCCAAGCTTTGAGTTTAACATCTCCCCATCAGTGTGTTATTTTGCCAGCGATACCACCAAAGGACCAGCAAAACCAGTGACCTGCTGCTCTACATTAATATATATATATATTATTGCAAATGACAGAGGAATGCCTGTGCCCACTTCGAAAATAAGCCCTGGAGAGCAAGTAAATCTCTTACCCGGTTGTCCTCTTGGATCTCCCAGTCACTGGAGAAGCTCAAGACATGCTGTGCCTGCGAGCAGTTAGAAAACTGGAAAAGGCTGGCAAACATCCTTCTGTTCTCCTGGGTGTCTGGGAAAATTGCCTCCTGGAAGTTGACTCCGTGTGGCAGGAGGATGTAGTTCTCATCCATTCTGAAACACAGATGGCACGGGCAGCCCACTGTGAGGCTGAGCAGCACTTTCTCTCCCATGGAAGTCACCTGGTGTACTTCAGCCTGGCTCAACAAGTGCCACCAAAGTTGCACAGACAGACTTTTAGCTGGCACATGGCTCTTGGCTCTCCTGGCACTTAGCTGCCAAGACAGTAATTTCCAACACGGAGGACTGGCCCAGGCAGCAGCAGTAAGGACCTTACAGGTTTCTACCACCCTGCAGACATCAATGAAACCCCAAGAGAAAGGGAAATCTGTATTTTGGCCCATGGTTGCTACTGAATTTGCATCACTTCACCCTTGATCCTGGAGTTTAAGTGCTCCTTCAAGCAGTCAATAAATAACTTGTGTAAAACGTGCTTTAAAATATTGCCACAGACTGAGCACTAGACAGCATCAAACTCGGTTCTGTTACGCACCCCGTGTAAGAATATGCCAAGTATTTTGAAACAAGCCACTGCGCAGCATTTCCCAAACACTCTTGGACGGAAAGGTCACGGTGATGGCTCTGTTCCCACATTGTGGTTTACTTCCCTATTTTTTCGATGAGCCCAAAGCCGGGATTTGGCTGGGAGAGCCGAGAGAACGCTATCGGGTGAGGATTTGGGGATGGGTTGGAAACTGCCGTGCCAAACTTCGGCGGAGAGGCGCTGGCCA